TTGTGTAGCAGTGTGTGAAGGTGGTTTGTGTAGCAGCGTGTGCGTGCATCCCCTCTGGATGGGGTATCAATGTCTCAATGCTGATGAAACTCCCCCAAAAGAGATCCGAGTCACCCTAACCCCACGTGCCACTTTACACCACTGCGGGTCCCTCTTTCCACTTTGTTAAAACATAAAACAACATTGTGAGAGCTCTCGGAGTCAGATGCGTGGGCGCTGCTCAGAGTGGCCCAGGGCTTGGTTCTGGTTTTCCGTGGCTTTTCCTCTCAACTTCTGCGTAGTGTCGACCACCGTCGGCTGATCGAGTCCAGCACCTGGCTCGGTTGACGGAGAGAGACAACCCTTGCCTGCTCTGAGTGGTAACTGAGAGACAACCCTTGCCTGCGCTGAGTGGTAACTGAGAGAGACAACCCTTGCCTGTGCTGAGTGGTAACTGAGAGAGACAACCCTTGCCTGCTCTGAGTGGTAACTGAGAGAGACAACCCTTGCCTGTGCTGAGTGGTAACTGAGAGAGACAACCCTTGCCTGCTCTGAGTGGTAACAGAGAGAGACAACCCTTGCCTGTTCTGAGTGGTAACTGAGAGAGACAACCCTTGCCTGTTCTGAGTGGTAACAGAGAGAGACAACCCTTGCCTGCGCTGAGTGGTAACTGAGAGAGACAACCCTTGCCTGCTCTGAGTGGTAACTGAGAGAGACAACCCTTGCCTGCTCTGAGTGGTAACTGAGAGAGACAACCCTTGCCTGTGCTGAGTGGTAACAGAGAGAGACAACCCTTGCCTGCTCTGAGTGGTAACAGAGAGAGACAACCCTTGCCCGTGCTGAGTGGTAACTGAGAGAGACAACCCTTGCCTGTTCTGAGTGGTAACAGAGAGAGACAACCCTTGCCTGTGCTGAGTGGTAACTGAGACAACCCTTGCCTGCTCTGAGTGGTAACTGAGAGACAACCCTTGCCTGTTCTGAGTGGTAACTGAGAGAGACAACCCTTGCCCGTGCTGAGTGGTAACTGAGAGAGACCACCCTTGCCTGCTGAGTGGTAACTGAGAGAGACAACCCTTGCCTGTTCTGAGTGGTAACTGAGAGAGACAACCCTTGCCCGTGCTTAGTGGTAACTGAGAGAGACAACCCTTGCCTGCTCTGAGTGGTAACTGAGAGAGACAACCCTTGCCCGTGCTGAGTGGTAACTGAGAGAGACAACCCTTGCCTGTTCTGAGTGGTAACTGAGAGAGACAACCCTTGCCTGTTCTGAGTGGTAACTGAGAGAGACAACCCTTGCCTGTGCTGAGTGGTAACTGAGAGAGACAACCCTTGCCTGCTGTGAGTGGTAACTGTGAGAGACAACCCTTGCCTGCTGTGAGTGGTAACTGAGAGAGACAACCCTTGCCCGTGCTGAGTGGTAACTGAGAGAGACAACCCTTGCCTGCTGTGAGTGGTAACTGAGAGACAACCCTTGCCTGCTCTGAGTGGTAACTGAGAGAGACAACCCTTGCCTGCTCTGAGTGGTAACTGAGAGAGACAACCCTTGCCTGCTCTGAGTGGTAACTGAGAGAGACAACCCTTACCTGCTCTGAGTGGCGACCTCCGTGAGCCACTGTCCACGAGGCGCCTCTGAGACTCGTAGGCCGGCCACGTGGTCTGCGCCACTTATATCGGGGCCCTTGTTACAGACTCGACGTCTTAGCTTCTGCCGAGGCAGCCTTTTGGGAGGGGGTGGGGGTTTGGGGAGGCGCTCTCCTGAACGGGTCCGGCAGGCGCGTCGCTCCCTGCGGCACCGCTGTGGCTCCGGGCAGCTCTGTGGTTTACTTCACGCTCTGACACCCGCGCGTGACTGCTGTCCGTGAAGTCATCACGGGGGAGCTGCTGTGGGGGCAACGCCCTCTCGCCGGTGAGCGGCGCCTTGCAGGGGAGTCGTTCTGAATGGCCTGCCGCATACTACACGCGGAATACATCTTTCGGTGGTGATCGTAGATGCCGCTATGAATACGCAATTATTAAACATGTGTCGTGAAGAGGCCGATACAGAGCACAAACTGCGAAGTAGGCTGCGGGGGGTGGGGTACAGAAACTCCACGGCACCCCGAGCTCTCCTGAGGTCAGAGAAGGCGGAAAATTGGGGCATCGCTGTTTTCTAACATCGGACCACGTGGCTCATCTCGTGTGCCTACGCCCGGGCCTTTCCCAGCGGCCTTGCCCCTTGTGTGTGCGCGCGCGCGCACGTGATTATATTCTCATACAAAAGGCTCCGAAAGTGTATGTCATCGTGTTACTTACGATGGAGCTCTTGACACATACCTCGTGGCGCCGTGCTGCGCGTGCGTGCCTGTGCGCGTCTGCCGTGTGCCGTTTGAGGTTTATTAACGGAATTAGTTTTTTTGGCATCGCACTTTGGAGCGGTGGAGCAATTCATTGTGATTCTAATCTGGCCTTTGTAACGGCCGTGTGAATGTTTCATGCATATTTATGTTCTCAATAACAATGCCACGGTGATATTTTTAGGAGGATAAATTTGCGTGGATATATTCTGTCAATCTGCCCGGCACTCTGTCCTATATTGTACGATGAAAAATGTACTTTGTTGGGAAGAGAAGGCGAACAATTACCAGCGCAATAGCCAACGCCTGTGACCAAATCAGTTCGGCAGACGGCCGTCAGCCCCCGCCCCCCAGGCCCCCTGAACTCCGATTAGCACGGTTGGCTACGTACGGTGCGAAAGGCGTGCATCAAACACAAACACACCACACACACACACACCACACACACACACCACACACACACACCACACACACACCACACACTCACAAACACACCACACACCACACACACACACCACACACACACTCACAAACACACCACACACACCACACACACCCACACACTCACAAACACACACCACACACACACCACACAGACACACACCATACACACCACACACACACACCACACACACCACACAAACACACTACACACACCACACACACACACCACACACTCACAAACACACCACACACACACCCCACACACACACACCACACGCACACCACACACACACCACACACACCACACACCACACACACACCACACACTCACAAACACACCACACACACCACACAGACACACACCATACACACCACACACCACACACCACACACACACCACACACACACCACACAAACACCACACACACACCACACACACACACCACACACACCACACACACTCACAAACACACACCACACACACACACCACACACACACCCCACACACACACCACACACACACCACACACACACCACACACACCACACACACACACACCACACACACACCACACACACACACCACACACACACACCACACACACACCACACACACCACACACACACCACACACACACCACAAACACCACACACACCACACACACACCACAAACACCACACACACCACACACACCACATACACCACACACACACCACACACACACACACCACACACACACCACACACACACCACACACACACCACACACCACAGACACACCATACACACACCATACATACACACACCACACTCACACCACACACACCACACACACCACACACACACCACACACACCACACACACACCACACACACCACACACACACCACACACACACCACACACACCACACACACGCAGGAACGACTCCCTCGGGCGCACACGAACGGTGGGGATTTGTTTTTGGTTCGCAAACTACTGGAGGACACGCGACTCGCTGAGACAGCGCGCAAACAAAATGTGGATGACAAATTAACACGGCGATCCCAGACAAAGACGAAGACGGTGACCACGATGACTAACGATGACTAACGATGACTAACGACAGTGACGATGACTAACGATGACTAACGATGACTAACGACAGTGACGATGACTAACGATGACTAACGACAGTGACGATGACTAACGATGACTAACGATGACTAACGACAGTGACGATGACTAGCGACAGTAACGATGACTAACGATGACTAACGATGACTAACGACAGTGACGATGACTAGCGACAGTGACGATGACTAACGATGACTAACGATGACTAACGACAGTGACGATGACTAACGATGACTAACGACAGTGACGATGACTAACGATGACTAACGACAGTGACGATGACTAACGATGACTAACGACAGTGACGATGACTAATGATGACTAACGATGACTAACGATGACTAACGACAGTGACGATGACTAACAATGACTAACGATGACTAACGACAGTGACGATGACTAACGACAGTGACGATGACTAACGATGACTAACGATGACTAACGACAGTGACGATGACTAACGATGACTAACGACGACTAACGATGACTAACAATGACTAACGACAGTGACAATAACTAACGACAATGACGATGACTAACGATGACTAACGATGACTAACGACAGTGACGATGACTAGCGACAGTGACGATGACTAACGATGACTAACGACAATGACGATGACTAACGACAATGACGACGACTAACGACAGTGACGATGACTAACGATGACTAACGATGACTAACGACAGTGACGATGACTAACGATGACTAACGACAGTGACGATGACTAGCGACAGTGACGATGACTAACGATGACTAACGACAATGACGATGACTAACGACAATGACGACGACTAACGACAGTGACGATGACTAACGATGACTAACGATGACTAACGACAGTGACGATGACTAACGATGACTAACGACAGTGACGATGACTAGCGACAGTGACGATGACTAACGATGACTAACGACAATGACGATGACTAACGACAATGACGACGACTAACGACAGTGACGATGACTAACGACAGTGACGATGACTAACGATGACTAACGATGACTAACGACAGTGACGATGACTAACGATGACTAACGGTGACTAACGACGACTAACGACAGTGACGATGACTAACGACGGGTCCACCCAGCCTGTCATCGATGTCCCCCCCCCCCCCCCTCCCCCCCAGGTGCACCAGGCCCACCTGGTGCGCTGCCCGTGCCCCGGCTCTCCTCGCGCCGTGCTGGTGGCGTGTGCTCTCGGCTCCGTGCGCGCCGCCTCCTTCTCGCCCCTCGCCTCGCCGTGGGCGCCGCTCCGGGCCCCGTGGAGCGCCCCGGTGCGTGCGCTGCACGCCGCCGGCCTCTCGCCCGCCGCCTACTTCCGACTCCTGCACGAGGTCCGCCGGCTGTCGGAGCGGTGAGCGACGGCGGAGCCCCCGCCGGCAGGCCCTGCGTTTTGTTTGAACCCGGCGTAGAGCTCTCGCTTGCAGGGCACAGAGGCCTCGCACGCCCCACAGCCTGGACGGGTGAGGGCCTGGACGGGTGAGGGGCTGGGTGGGTGAGGGGCTGGGTGGGTGAGGGGCTGGGGGGGTGAGGGGCTGGACGGGTGAGGGGCTGGATGGGTGAGGGGCTGGGTGGGTGAGGGGCTGGACGGGTGAGGGGCTGGGTGGGTGAGGGGCTGGGTGGGTGAGGGGCTGGGTGGGTGAGGGGCTGGACTGGTGAGGGGCTGGATGGGTGAGGGGCTGGGTGGGTGAGGGGCTGGACGGGTGAGGGGCTGGGTGGGTGAGGGGCTGGGTGGGTGAGGGGCTGGGTGGGTGAGGGGCTGGACTGGTGAGGGGCTGGATGGGTGAGGGGCTGGGTGGGTGAGGGGCTGGACGGGTGAGGGGCTGGGTGGGTGAGGGGCTGGACGGGTGAGGGGCTGGACGGGTGAGGGGCTGGATGGGTGAGGGGCTGGACGGGTGAGGGGCTGGACGGGTGAGGGGCTGGATGGGTGAGGGGCTGGGTGGGTGAGGGGCTGGGTGGGTGAGGGGCTGGATGGGTGAGGGGCTGGACGGGTGAGAGGCTGGATGGGTGAGAGGCTGGATGGGTGAGGGGCTGGACGGGTGAGGGGCTGGATGGGTGAGGGGCTGGACGGGTGAGGGGCTGGATGGGTGAGTTGCTGGGTGGGTGAGGGGCTGGATGGGTGAGGGGCTGGGTGGGTGAGGGGCTGGGTGGGTGAGGGGCTGGATGGGTGAGGGGCTGGGTGGGTGAGGGGCTGGGTGGGTGAGGGGCTGGATGGGTGAGGGGCTGGACGGGTGAGGGGCTGGGTGGGTGAGGGGCTGGATGGGTGAGGGGCTGGGTGGGTGAGGGGCTGGGTGGGTGAGGGGCTGGATGGGTGAGGGGCTGGATGGGTGAGGGGCTGGATGGGTGAGGGGCTGGACGGGTGAGTTGCTGGGTGGGTGAGGGGCTGGATGGGTGAGGGGCTGGGTGGGTGAGGGGCTGGGTGGGTGAGGGGCTGGATGGGTGAGGGGCTGGACGGGTGAGGGGCTGGGTGGGTGAGGGGCTGGACGGGTGAGGGGCTGGGTGGGTGAGGGGCTGGACGGGTGAGGGGCTGGGTGGGTGAGGGGCTCAATGGGTGAGGGGCTGGACGGGTGAGGGGCTGGGTGGGTGAGGGGCTCAATGGGTGAGGGGCTGGACGGGTGAGGGGCTGGGTGGGTGAGGGGCTCAATGGGTGAGGGGCTGGACGGGTGAGGGGCTGGACGGGTGAGGGGCTGGACGGGTGAGGGGCTGGACGGGTGAGGGGCTGGATGGGTGAGGGGCTGGATGGGTGAGTTGCTGGGTGGGTGAGGGGCTGGGTGGGTGAGGGGCTGGATGGGTGAGGGGCTGGACGGGTGAGGGGCTGGATGGGTGAGTTGCTGGGTGGGTGAGGGGCTGGGTGGGTGAGGGGCTCAATGGGTGAGGGGCTGGATGGGTGAGGGGCTGGATGGGTGAGGGGCTGGGTGGGTGAGGGGCTGGATGGGTGAGGGGCTGGACGGGTGAGGGGCTGGGTGGGTGAGGGGCTCAATGGGTGAGGGGCTGGATGGGTGAGGGGCTGGATGGGTGAGGGGCTGGGTGGGTGAGGGGCTGGATGGGTGAGGGGCTGGGTGGGTGAGGGGCTGGGTGGGTGAGGGGCTGGATGGGTGAGGGGCTGGATGGGTGAGGGGCTGGACGGGTGAGTTGCTGGGTGGGTGAGAGGCTGGACGGGTGAGTTGCTGGGTGGGTGAGGGGCTGGGTGGGTGAGGGGCTGGGTGGGTGAGGGGCTGGGTGGGTGAGGGGCTGGGTGGGTGAGGGGCTGGATGGGTGAGGGGCTGGACGGGTGAGGGGCTGGGTGGGTGAGGGGCTGGACGGGTGAGGGGCTGGGTGGGTGAGGGGCTCAATGGGTGAGGGGCTGGACGGGTGAGGGGCTGGACGGGTGAGGGGCTGGACGGGTGAGGGGCTGGACAGGCGAGCCTTGAGCTGCTGCTTGAAAGTGGATGATGCCTGGATGCCGCTGCGTTTTTGCAGTGGGAGAGAGTTCCAGATGGCTGTTGTAGCTACGTAGAGGTGCCACTCAAACAACACAGGCCTGTTAGTAGTCCTATTCCAAGTACATCAAATAAGTCGTGATTAAAAACAGCTCATTATAAATTGGAGCAAGAGGAGAAAGCGCTTTGTTCTGTGTGGGAGCATTAAGAACTGTGCCGAAATCTTCCGATGAGTCCCAGAGGGCGAAAACCAGTGCAGGGTGGGCACGCGGAAACCAGCACTGCTGGTGCAGTGTGCATGTGGAGGTGCCGTGAGCTGCGTATGTATCCTGTTGTTAGCCTACGGCAAAACACGGACAAATAACGAGACGTGGAAATGCAACAAAATCGCACGACGTCATTACGGCGAGTTGACTGTAATGGGTTAACTTGCGGACGCCAACCTCTCCTGCCTGTGTCCGTGGCCTGTCTGCTGTGAGTGTGAAGCTTTTAATTGTATTAAAATATAAACCCAAATTAATCATTAGTGTCATTGTGTGGCGAACATAAGTCACGAAATGCATAAGCGGCATTATATGCCTTCTCTTTCGTATCTCCCGGGAGGCCGTGTGGCCCATGGGATGGTTCAAAATGAACTTGTACTGTGTGCAGAGGCGATGTCAGAAGGAGGAGTATTTTAGCATTGAAAAAGATCTTTAAAACATATACTTTTTACAGTTGTTCCAGTGACATAAGTGTCACATCCCTACGTCGTTTAATGTAAACGCAAGCGATGTTACCCGAAGGCTACGTTGGAGCAACCGATCAGTCCTTCTGTCTCGCGAAGGAATCTTCGTGTCGGACGTGCCGGCTCACGGCCCACTTTGTGAGCGTGGCGCGTGCCACCAAGTCGTGCCCTGTGAGGGCGAGGGTTGGTGGTTCGCACAGATTCGTGAAGCTCCCCACCCCTACCCTCCCCCCCCCCCCCCCGGCACTGAATTCGCTCTCTCCTGGCAGCACAGCAAGTGGAATCATTTCCCGCCGTACAAGAGTTGAGTATTTCCTCCACCTCCGCACGCGCTGGTTTCCTCCCGCATGTATAAACGCTCGTTCGTGGAGTTGACCAATCGTCCCAACGTAGTACGGCCAGAGCTTTGGGCTAATAGTTTGATGGCGCCGGTTCCGGCCGTCTTCCCACGCGCTCGTCCCTGCCTTCCCGCGTCTCTGTGCTCCGCGTAACAAAAATCTCCAGCCTTTTGACACGAAACACGCACGTGCGGTTATAAACGGCCCTTCAAGATTACAAATCAAGCAAGTCAATGGCTGCGTGGGAATCGGAGGTGCGTCTTCCTTTCAAAGGCCCCGAGCCGTTTCCTCCGAGGAGAAGCCCTTGCTGCAGCTCGCTCGGCACTCGATACCTCGAGGCGCACTGCTGTGGCGCCGACTTCATTCGAAGCCCCCTTCTCCCTCGGGTCGCATCAAAGCCCGCGGCCATGACGACAGAGCAAGGCTGGCCCGCCGCGTGACCCGGCGGCTAAGCCGGGCGCGCTCGAGACCGGCGGGCCGCCCGCCGCTGGTGCCGCCTCTCGTTCTATTTACTTGAATGCCGCCCCCCCCCCACCCGTTTCTGCCCTGGCTTGCGGGCGACGCGAGGCGTCTGGCTTTCCGCTCGGCTCTCTCGCGGCGGCTCCCGTGGTCACGCCGTTGCACGCTCGACAAACGACGCGTCTCTGGAGGAAGTGACGCGTGGTAGGCAAAGCGCCTCGAGCACGCACGCACGCGACGTTCACGCTTTACACCGCCGCCGATTTTAAATTACATTTATTTTCTTCTAAAACCACCGCAAACAGAATACGCGATGGTTTATAAACGAGGACACGCACTTAGCAGAATGTTGTTTATTTCCTCCATCATCACCAAATCTGAATGTGCCAGAAAGCACATTGCAAGGCATTACTAACAGCCGAATTACGGGACTGCATTGTCGCGCTCGGATAGGCCCGCGTCTCTGTGCCACAGTTCCTCCGCGCGCGCGAGCGAGCGAGCGAGGGTCTCGCCCACCGCTCAAAGCCTTACGCAACCGGCGGGGTCGGGGTGCGCGGGCGACGAGGTCGTCGGCGGAGCGGAGGGGGTGACACGGCTGCCCGCTCAAGTTCGCGCGGCGCTTGGCGGACGAGTGAGCGGAGCGCGGTCGGTCGCGTTGGAACGCGGCGCGCCCCCACGGCTAATGCGCCGCGCCGTGCGTGATAAGCCGGCCGGGACATTCGGCAGACGGTTGCTAAGCAGCGTTTCTAGCCTACGCTGTGTACGTGTCCGTTTTTTTTTTTTTAGCAACGCTTGACCGGGAAGAAATATTTTATTTCACGCGCGCGATGCTGTCGAATAGCATTCTGCACGACACGGCTGGGCCAAACAAATCAGTGGATGGTAAATTCATTGCTCGACCATCTGAGAGCCACCTGTCTTTAATAAGGGAGACCTTGGAAAGCAATATGAGCACATTTGTTGTTTGGCTTATTTTATGCCCCCTATTTTTCTGAGGTCTTTCAAGCAACGTGTATTGATGCTCGGAGCTTTAAAAATAAAGTTTCCTTTTGATAGTCTCCGGCAGGCTGTACCCAATTTGATGTTCACTTTTTGAACATGCAACTGTACGTTTCAGCGATTGGCATTCACGCACGTAGAGCCTTTATCATTTGTCTGTAGTGTGCGCGCGTGGTGTGGAAGTTTATGTTTGGCACAGTGAGCCGGATTTAAACACAGTCCTAATAATGGAACCACAGGCAGGTGCCATTGTCTTCGAACAAAGAGGATGGCGATCAATCGCGTCGAGGGCATCCGCCGACACGGTCTGCACCGCAGGGCACAAACCGTGGTAGTGCCGAGGACCGGCAACGTTTTTATTCTGTCGCGAATGCGCAATTTTCTAGACAGGCAGTGAACAGAAAATTAATTT